CTTCCTTGTACGGGCTCCTGAACCAAATCTTCCACCGTGTATTTCGAGAACACCCTTACACACAACTATGGTCCGGCGCAGGTCAAATTTGAGCAGCGCACTTTCCTCTTATGACGTCTGATTTGAAAAACCGGCGCCGATTTTCACCACTCGGGCTTCTTTTCAATTTCTCGAGAACTTCTTCTGGGGCTAGGTTCGCCAAATTTCACAGATACACAGCTTAAGGTACTAGCTTCCAAATGGTATAGTAGCCCGCTGCTCTATCCCCTTTGCTTTTCTGCCATTCCTCTATATGTAGCGGCCAGTTTGAATGGGATGACCTAATACTAGAAGGACTGCCAATAAATAAAATCGTCGGCATTGACTCATGGTGATGAGTCAATGCCGACGATTGATGGTGGTTGGGTATGGCACGCGGTGCTCCTTTGGGAGACGGCAGAGATACTCGTAATTTGTCACGCGCGGAAATGGGCGCGGCGTTTTTCTTCGAAAAGTCCTGTTGGCTGGAACAGTTGATTCCATGTGGACTAGGAAAACGTAGACATTCATGGGGTTATAATGGTCTTTCGTCACCATCTACGACCCAGAAACATTGTCATTACACCGCACACGACACCCACTAGCGCGGTAAATTACGCTTGTCTTGTCTCACACACGCACCCACGTTGCCTCTAATGTAGCTCTCAGCTGTTTTGGCATCATAGCTCTGCTAATCCTGTAATGAGCTCAGGTCGTTAGATCTTGCACAGGGGAAGCAGGGGAACGGGGAGGGTAATCATTGGAGCGAGCGCTGGTAGGCACGGCCGCTATGTAACCTCCTCGGAGACCTACTACTGTCTCCCCTCGATGGTAACGTCCACGATTTACCGACACGCAGAAGTCCCTGTTTGCAGAAGGTGGCACATCCCGCAATCGGTAAGCATCCCACTTCTGCGAGGGTATTTGTCAGCCGCGATGTCTCCCTCCTTTTTCTTTTCTTCCCTTACTTCTCCCATCCTTGTTCCGTCGAGAATGTACGGTGCGTCTTCCTGCGCACTCAATAACGAGTGCAGAGGCATTGCAGTGTGCCCCCCTCCATTTACGTTTGTGCGAAACCATTCAGTAATGAGCGCTATCTGACAGTGATCTCTAAACTTGAAACAAGGAAGTAAGACTGCTGTGAAACAGAGCGTGAACTAAACGGAAGAGGACGGAGGCTGCCGTGACCTTCGGCGTTAAAGTTCTATGTCGAGTCAACCAGTCAGAAGCGCTGGTTTACCCACGATGCCGCGACTTGAATCTACCAAACTCCACCGCTCTAAAGTGTGCTTGAATGGGCAATCCTCGGGAGCCAGATTAGCGAAAGATTTCCACAAGATGATCTATTATATTTAATGAAATTTCTGTGAAGGCGCAGTGAGCAAGGTGGGAAAAGCTACCGTCAATGCAGATATTTATATCGGATAAAAGTACAGATGGCCAACACGTAACTTCGTATATCTATCACAAGAACCGGCAAGAGTGGCATGAGTCATTTTATAGACAAACTGACATGAAAAACGCAGAAGGCCCTGTAGATGATAATTTTGAATTCACACGTCAACAATTGGAATCAATCGATATTGGTCGATCATTAATTATTATTTTTCGCTTTTGATTATGTGATGAACCCTAAGTGTGTGAAACCATGCATGTTGGTTTCCAAACCAGAACCTGTACACTCCAGTTTTTTCTACTGGCAGAGAATCGCCGAATGGTACCATCGTTGGTCCTGGGACCTTCTGAAGACAAGAAATTAATGAAGTCGCTGAAAATCGACAAAAAACTCCACTTTACAAATAAAGACTGAAAACAATGATGGTCCACACGATGAAATATAGAGGCCTCCCGAAGTTGAAACGGGCCCTCTCAAAGGTCTTCCAAATGAGTCTACATATTACCAACTAAGCATCCTGTAAGAGGCTGATTCGCCTAAGCGAAAATCCCTCCAAAATTTATCCTAAGACCACGTGAGTGGTAAGCGGCACCCATTGCCACTGTACCATATTCATCCTTAGCCTTGGAAAAAAAGAACTCGAGCTTCTATTCCGAACTGTCACGAACGTTTTGATAGAAAGAAATTCACCGTAGGTATACATTACACAAATCACTGTATTCCGCTGGTCCCGCCCATTTCATGAATCCCACCCACAAGGTCCCACAGTAACGATAACCTTGCACTGACAAGATATGTTTCGCATGTAGGCAATTTTTTTCAAAACCAAGAAAATGCCACGATGGTCTTTGGAACGAGCTCTGAGAAGGCTAGTAAAAGTGAGACTTCGCTGCTTGCACAGCGCGATTTCTCATAAAAAATGGCGCCGCCGCGCGTTTTGCTTGTCATTTGCCGCAAAGAAATAATCAAAAACTTACAAGGCTGTTGGTAATAACTTACACTGAAAAGCGGATACAACATCTTCATCTTACTGAGATCATCGGTTTCCTCGTCTTTGTTTACCTCGTAGATTGTGAATGAGAAATGGCCGTTCGCATGAAGCTCCCACGAGAGGTGCGTGCCCTGAAGAGTGAGACTTCTCACTGTTGATTTCACTAATGGAAACGAATAGAAAGGGAAATACTTGAGAAAAGGGGAGTCCCAAGAAAGTGCAATAGCAGTAATAGAAGTAGAGATCCTTGCAAAGTTCATAGTCAGGGAGGTGGTAGGGGATGAGCAGCAGTTTCTTCTCAGAACCATTGAACCTACTGGCAAGGGAAATCCCATGGGAAGGTAACTGGATGTGCAATCAAAGCACGTCATGGCAATGTGTAAAAGTCTCCTTCATTACAACCCCAATATACTCCACCCCTTCCCTGACCCCTGCCACTCCCCCCC